TAGGTTAAATGCTAAATTTAGTCCCTCAACTTTTTAAAATGAATATTTTTGGTCCCTTAATAATTTTTTTGCATTTTTTTGATCCCTTGACTCTAAAAATTACACATTTTTTGTCCCTCCGTCAGTTAAGTATGATGTGGCAGTTAAATATGATGTGGCAGTTAAATAATTTTATGTGGCATTATTTTTTAATTTTTTTGATGACATGGCACTAATATATACTATAATTATGTTATATAAATAAATAAATATGCCACATAAGTTAATATACATATTTTAATTAAAAACATATAAAATTACTTTATTACCCTCGTCCTCACCCTCAACCTCCCAGTCCCTCTTCTTCCCCTTCTTTTTCTCTTTTTCTTTCTTTCGAGTTTGGTGGAAACCCAGCCTTGCTGTGTTCGTCGACCAGCCAAGGCTGGGTTCACGACCAGCCAAGGCTGGGTTTCAACCAAACCCAGCTTTGCTGGGAAAGCTTGGTTTTGTTTTTTCGTTCTTCTTTCGATTTCCATTTGCAATTGTTAATATATTTGGAGATTGATTTATAATTTGATTGCATTTTTTGTTGGAATTTGATTAAAGTTTGATTGTATTTTTGTTGAAATTTGATTTGAGTTTGATTGGTATAGTTTATTGAAGGGTTATTTTGATTTGGTAAGATTTGTCAGGTTTGAGGTTTCAATGAAACCTAGCAGCTCAATAGCTCAAGTTTCCCAGAGAAAAGAGAAGAAGAAGAAATTGGTGGGTTAAGATCGGTTCTGTAGATGGAGTGGAGATGAGAGAGTATTCACGGAAGAAGAAGAAATGGGTTAAGATCGATTTTGCAGATGGAGTGGAGATGAGAGAGCATTTAGAGAATAAGAAGAAATGGGTTAAGATTGATTTTGCAGAGGATGAAGACGAGAAATCAATTTGCAGGTGACTGGAATCTATTGGAGGATGAAGATGAAGAAGATGACATGTCATAAAAAAAGAAAATCTAGATAAGCATTTTTTTAAGTTGTGTTCGTCATGTCATAAAAAAAAATATAAAAAATGCCATGTGGTCGAGTTAACGGCCCAAATTGATAGAAGGATTAACGGAGTGCATTTTGTATAGTTGAGGGATAAAAAAGTGCAATTCACTAAAGTTGAGGGACCAAATTTAGCATTTAACCTATGAAATAATATTTATCTTGGTTTTCTGTTGTTTTTCTTTGTCACGTGTAATTGGGACAAAGTCAAAGATGCTAAACATGGCGAGTGAAGCAAATGGGCCACCTGTCATGCTGTCTGAGAGGATAAAAGTACATAGTATGAGTGTAAGAATAGAACAGGCAAGTGCGATGAACTGATGATTAGGTTTGTGGTGATTGAGGCACACAGAAATGCTAGTGTGGTCATATAATTTTTTTTTATTTTTTATTTTTAGTTTTTAGGGAGGATTTTTCCATCTAGTATTTTAAGGAATATGGTGAAAGTATAATAAATATATTTTTTATTATTAATTT